AAGGTCTGACACTTTTATATATATCTTAAATTAAAGCTAATGTAATATACTTTATAATGGTAAAAAAAAATTTCGGACTTTATTTTGTCTTCACGGTGAAAATGGCTACTAAATGCTATTATTGTGTCAAAATTCTCGATTTTATTTTTTTATTTTTAACTTTATAATGCTATAACATATTGAAAAGTGTATGGATCAACATAATTTTTTTATGAGAAATAATATTTTTTAATAATCCCTCTTTCATTCGATATACTTTATCTAAATCAGGATATTAATAACGAACTAGCAGATCATGTTGCTTTTGGAATAATCCACCTATTTTTTAAAATTAAACACTATCTAAAGATTTGCATCGAAGCGTTTTTTATGATAGTGATTTTAATCACTGTCAGATATCATTATACTTGATCCAAATATGTCACGTCACCACTGTGCCGCGACCCCCCTGTGCTGGGTTTTTTTTTTTAAGTTTTTTTTTTTTTTAATTTATTATTCAACATACATCTATGTCGTGAATAGATACCACATTCTTAGTTTTGGATGATATTACAAAGGATATGATAAAACCTTGTGTTATGGATGTAAAAATTGGCAAGCAAACTTGGCAACCAGGATGTAAAGATTACAAAAAAGAAATTGAACAAGTAATTTAATTATTATAAACATTTAATAATTTATTTAACTATATAAATACATTATTATTGTATCAATATCATAACAATTTCAAGTCCACATCAAAGAGGGTGCTACATGCATGTACTCCCGGTGACACTGAAATAAAGAGCACTATGAATTATAGATGAGGCCGTTTTTTTATAGCTTCTAAATTCAGCTCTCAACAACCTATAAATTTCTATAAAATCCAAAAAAATAACAGCTTAAATAAGACATTTAAGAGTTTCACCAAATAAGGAAACTTTATTTAAAATTTTCTAAAATATGTTTTGATATTGGAACACAATGAAAAATGTAAAACAGAATTTCAACTTCATTTTATATCCCATATTATTTGCATTTAACTATGCTACTTTTAACACTATTTAAAACTAAATGTGCACATGCTATAAATTATCAGTGCTGGGAAGTAACTTTAATTACAAGTTACTATAATTAAATTATTTGTAGAGTAATTTTATTTTAATCTCAAATTGCTATTTGGTGGTAATTTTTGGTAGTAAAAGAGACAATGATGTTAATGATGATATAAGAGTAATTTTGAGAAATAACTGGTTACATTGTTTTATTTTAAAAGTTTGCACTTTTGTTACTTTGAAGTAAAAAATTAAGTTTTTCCCTTTTTTCAGAATAAGTGTAAGAAGTGTAAAGAAACTTATGGAATTTGTATTCAAGGAATTCATTATTATGTTGTAAAAAACAATGTAGTGTCTGAAACGCCGGAAAAAGCACATAAAGATTTAGGAAAATCATTGGAGCCAAATGAAGTAAACGGAGGTTAGTTTTTGTTATTATAAATCAAAAGTCTTAAAAAATAATAAAAAAAATAAAAAGACTTAGTTATTGCAAAGGTTAAATTATTAAAATATTGTGTTTTTTATGGTAGAAAAGTAAAAAATACAATTTAATCTTTTCTATAAATAAAATAAATTATTTAAAAATTTGGATACGATAGAAAAATTACTAGAAAGAAACCAGTGATAATTTTTTGATAAATTTTATTCATTCAAATGATTTTAACATTTTTGGATAAACATTTTGTGCGAATTAAATATATTTAACCTTATAAAAGCCATCTCTTGAAAAATGTAGAAAAATTCACGTATTTTTATATAATGGTTAATATTGTACAAAAACTAATGTATAACCAATGTATTGGTTAAACATTATCTAATTACTTTCAAAATGTTCGATTAAATTTAACCCTATATTTTGAATTATGATAAACTCTAGTGTTATCTTAATCATATCCCCGACAATAGTCGGGACCTTATTTTGCAATTTTGGGGGCCAATAGTCTATGACAAAAATAAGCCAGGTAAATACTAGTAAACTCTTATAATAATAAAAATATGATTAATATATTCATATTTTATTTACAATTTTAGTGTTGGGAAAATTCTTGAACATAGATACAGTAAAATCTTCGAATGTTATTAATAGTTTATTGGAGCAATTATCGAGCATTATTAAATACTTCAATGTTCAAAAACATCATCACTTTTTTTCAAGTTCAATAATTTTATCATATGATGCAGACACATTAACGAATGATAAAAGTCCAATAGTAAAAGTTTCAATGGTTGATTTCGCTCATACAATTCCAGCTGGTGAAGTAATTGATGAAAATTATTTGTTTGGTGTTAAAAATTTGTATGCATTGCTAGAAGAATTAAACACAAAAAAAGCAGTCTAATTCTATAATTTATAACTAACAATTACAACACTTTTATACGAATAATGGCTTGATTTTAGGGTCCTTATTCGTCAAAATACTTTTTTGTTTATTTTATTACAATTAAGTATATTAAATTGTTTTTAACATACATTTTTTACATTTAATTTTTTCTTAATTTTTAAGTTCTTTTTTAAGATTTAAAATTAATTCTTGTTTAAATAAAATGTTTAATATTGAAACGTTGTATTTTTTAAAAAGAAAAACGATTTTTAAAAATAAAAATATAAGGTAGAGGCGTGTAATAAGCAGAGTTGTGTAAAAATCATGTTTCTTAAATAAAGCCTGATTATAATATAAGTAAATAGATTAAAACTTTTAAAAAATCCTATAAGACCAATGTAAATTTTGAAATTTTGGTGTTTTAACACGTTTAAAACACTGATATTAATAAACGTGTTTAAAACATAACAACCCTCATTATAAGGCCTAGATAAACCTCATACAATCTAAGCCTTTTTGACCACACCAGCCTTAGAATTAATTACCTGTTTCATATACAGAGTGTTCAGTAATTAAGAAAAAAAATCAATTGTTACAAATAATAAGAACAATAGAAATTCGTTTCCTTATTTACTGAACACTCTGTATACATTTTTATCGTGTATAATTCTATCTCGAGCACTAGTTTTATGACAATTTCAGGGTTTTAGGCCATCCCCTATAAACACACATGATAGGATTTGATGGATGAAAATTAAATATATTTTTCATACATCGTTTTTTACCATTCGATGAAAATATTTATTGGGGATTTTATTCTAACAAGTGTCTCTATATCTAATTGTAATAAGTAAACATATAATACCAGTGTATGTACATATTAAGTATATTTTATATAATTGATAAAACCAGTGACTGAAACCGTATTAAACTTAGATTATAATCTAAGTTATAATAGATATTGTAATATAGCTATAGTTATATTTTAATAGTTGCAATCATAAGCGAAAGTTCATGAGCGTAAAGTAATTACGCTATCCATTCAATTTTTAGAAATTGTTTAATATTATAACTTTTTAAAAGGAAAAATTATTTCATTAAAAAATCTCTATAATAATAGAGTAAAAGCACCAGTGTATGATACTATACCAAAATATGACACATGATTTTTTATCATATTTTAAGACCCCCTAAATAGATTTGAATAATGTAATATAGAATTAATCAGATTGACGTTTTGAAAATGGTATTAACATCAATACAATCACAATTTAATCTGATATTGGCTGATACTATTGTTCGCGCTGCTTAAAAATACTAGCACAGACTATATGAAAACCGTTCCGAGAATAATTAACATATGTCAAAATACCTACTAGTAACAACTCGTTTATTATTTATTACTGCAATTACTTATTGCGTTCTTGCCAATAAACGCATTTGCATTAACGAGTGCATTCACCTGCATGTATTAATCATGCTGGATGCTTGCTCAAACCTTCGGTTTCGACGACGACGACACGACGACAGTGTAGTGTACATTCACTGCCACAGGTGGCGGTATGGGCGGAGTGACCGATCAGCCGTATCCGCGCGTCCGCCCAGAGCATCAGTTGGCTGATCGGTCACTCCGCTCATACCGCCACCTGTGGCAGTGAATGTACACTACACTGTCGTCGTGTCGTCGTCGTCGAAACCGAAGGTTTGAGCAAGCATCCAGCATGATTAATACATGCAGGTGAATGCACTCGTTAATGCAAATGCGTTTATTGGCAAGAACGCAATAAGTAATTGCAGTAATAAATAATAAACGAGTTGTTACTAGTAGGTATTTTGACATATGTTAATTATTCTCGGAACGAGTATAATTATTTTATTGCGCAGTATGAGGAAAACAACTTTTTAAAATATAAAAGTATAAAAGGTCAGTATTCGCATTAAATAGTGTATAATAGTGTATAAACGGTTTTTTGATTGGAGAAGTAAAATCAGTGCAACCATATGTATGAGCGCAAAAATTCTTTTAATTTATTTCATTATTAAATCTGCTGTAGCATAAATATTATGAAATTCCGTATATAAACATAATTATTGACATAAATTATTTTAATACATCATTAAATTAAGGTATTAAACCCATAATCCCTTATTTATGACTCAAAATCCCTAAATTAGTCATGAAAATTAAATAATTATCAGTTTTTATAATGTAAATTATTAACTACTTAAATTTGACTTGAGCAGTAACAATTGTTATTGTTAATGTTGTCAATGATCACATGTATCTTATTTCGTGTTATATTTGGTGCTTTCTTTCAAAATATCTCACTACCTCACCAGTATGCGATGCTCAGTAAAGTTTTGTCCAAGTACATATTCCTTCA